GACTAAATCAAATGCTTTACTGAAATCTAGAAATGCTATGCCAGTGAGATTCCCTTGATCCATTGCATGCAACCAGCTGTCAGTAAGTTTGGTTAGTGCCGTTTGGCAAGAATGGAATTCCCTAAAGCCACTCTGTGAGTTTGTAATGAGGTCAAAAGCTCTGGTGAATTCACGTACTTGATTAGCAACATGTTTTTCAAAAATGTTTGATAAAGTCGGTAAGATTGATATTGGTCTGTAATTATTGGATCATTTTTATCGCCCTTTTTATATATAGGGGTGACTTTAGCTTGTTTCAGATGCAAAGGAAAGATGCCATTAGTAATGCTAGTATTAATTAGATGAGTTATAGGCTTAGAAATTATATCAGCAGAGAGTCTTAAGAGGTGGGGACCAATGAAATCTATACCTGCCGATTTATTAATGTCAAGTTTGCATAGCATTGAGAAGACCTCGTCTTGTCTTATAGGAAGTAAGCTAAATACATTTTCATCAATAAGTTTTGACTTTATGAATTCTTTCAACTTTTCTGGTTCAAAGTTACGCTTTGGTAATTCATTTAATAAATTGCTAGAAATTTTTGTAAAGTGTTCATTAAAAACATTGACAATACCTTGTGTATCGTTAATTTCTGATCCGTTGTCCTTAATATGAGTAGGAAAAAAATATTTTGGCTTTGAGGATAAATGGTTCAGATAGCTCCAGAGTTCTTTAGGATTAGAGCTCTCCTCAATAGCTGATTTATAATAAGTACATTTAGCATTATTAATCAAAAGCGTAACTTTATTCCTCCAATGTCGAAAATTTTCAAAGTCTTTGTGTTGATGATAGTAATCTTGTAATTGTCTAGCATCATTAATTTCTTGTGTTAACCATTTTGGACGAGACTCAGTTTTCACACGTTTAGTCTTTACTTTAGCGTGACTATTTAGAATAGTATTAAACATATTGTAAAAGTTCGCTAAGATATCGTTAGGATTGTCCAAATTCGTAAGGGCATCAAAATTGACACTTTTTAAATCGGAAAGAAATTTTTCTTCATTAAAATTCTTAAAGTCGCGGTATTGAATTTCAGTGTGTTTTCCCTTACGCTGCATGCTGTTAGATCTGCGTGTTGCACAAACAGGGTAATGGTCAGACATAGCTATGGGTGGTACTTGGATTTCACAGATGAGGTCAGGTTGGGTAGTGTAGAAATGATCAATAAGGGTAGATGAGGTGTTAGTAATTCTAGTAGGTGTGGTAATTAATTGAGTTAGTCCAAATTCTTCTAGTGCAGATGTCCAGGATAGAGGGGGGTCTTTTAGTAGATCAATATTAAAGTCACCTGTAAGTATGATTTCTTGGTCATCACAGCAGGAGGCACGATTTATCTCCCTAGCTAGGTCCTCCACCCAGCAGGTGGGTGCAGATGGTGGGCGATATGCAGAACAATAGAGGATAGGCTTTGTGTTTTTTAAAGAAGAAGGTATCGTTTCCATCCAAGTTTTGCCCTGTGATTTTCTAAAAAATGAAACTGGTGTAAAAGTTGAAAACTCATGCTTTTTATGCAAGTCATTTTTCTCACATGTGTTTTTAAATGCTAATTATGACGTCATAAACATGTGCATTTTCCCGTATTTTCTTAAAACGTTGCAGAAGACACCAATTTTCAAACTATTCAAAGGAATTTTCTTTCAGATAATATTGTCCACAGCCATCGCCCACAAAGATCTTGAGATATGTGATTTTTTATTGAATATTACACAAAATATCAAAAAATTAACGTGGGCGACGGCTGTGGACCCTGTTTTTTAAAGATAAATCCCCCTTGAAACGTGCCATTTTGAGGCTTTTTCTGTTGAAAATAGAGAGATGCTTCACATTTATGACGTCATATTTGCAGAATGGTAAGCCTTCCTGCCATATTCTTTCCTGATTTATCAGAGTCATTTATTTAACTAATAGTTAAGTCAGTTTCAGAATTTTTTGATGTCATTACATTTTTAGGGCGCAATAAAGCTAAAACCATACCTTCTTCTTGATTTCTAACCATATTGTTTCTATGTTACTAATTTCTAAATCTTGTCGACGCTTATAGGATAGATTATTTGAGACATAAATAACTATTCCACCACCTCCCTTATTTTGTCGATCTTTTCTTTCAAGTACATAACCATCTATATTCAAATCTGCGTCACTAATTTGTTCATTTAAAAAAGATTCACAAAGCCCCAACACATCCATAGATCGTTCATTTTGTAAAATTAATTTCATTTCGTCTAATTTTGGTAGAAGATGACACACGTTAAAATTTCCGAAACGCAAACCTTTTTTAACTAGACCAAAACCAGAATTTGTCGGGGCACATTTATTAGATCTAGATGTTTATTGCTTTGGTAGAATTTAGACTTTCAGGGCTAGGGCTTTTGTTTATCTCCTGTTTAGAATTAGATTTTTGCTTAGTTTTGAGATAATGTATATTTTTGGCAGCTGAAAATTCTATTTGAGAATTTTTTAAGATACATTTACATGAATTTTTGTTACATTCTGAACATAAAGTTTCGAGAGGTAAAACGTTATTTTGCAGACTTAATGAAATACTCTCTGTATAATCGGCCAGACATTCGTTGCCCCTATTCTAGTACGGACAGAACTTTTGTTTGTGGCCAGGTTCCCCACACTGCCAACAGTCTACTTTGCTCCCATGTCTACAACTCCGGGATGAATGGCCTTGTTCTCCACAGAAGTAGCAGCACGTATATTTCATCGATGCGGAGGGAGCCGGTACTTGATGTTGCTTCAGAACTGGGACATGCTTATTGTATAGTTTCAACAGAGAGGCGGTTCCTTGGTCAGATAAATGTATACCGTCCTTCCAGTATAAAGAGGAATTCCAGGCTTTGAAAATTTGACTTGATTTAATCACTGTCGCGCCATACTCTTCGCACACAAAACGGATAGCTTCATTCACATTAATGATCAATGCATCTTTTCGAGGCATGACTTCACAAATGAAAACATAAATATTTGAATTCCTCTTCTTCAGATCCATAATTATCTCGGAAAAGTCATTTTCTACTGCTTCCATATTCCGTTTATTTGAGGCATCATTTCCTCCAGCCTGAATTATGACATTTTCTAGAGAAGACACATCGTATTGCTGCAATTTCTTACGAATATAAGAAATGCTGGCTCCTCTGTTGGTACTCACACTAACATTTGAGCATAACCCACGGGTTTTAATACGTTGCAGAATTGAACTTCCGTTCAGGAGTGTAGTTTTCTGCTGGTTGCTAGATGTGGAATTACGTTGTTTCTGGACGGAACTGTTTCCTAGTTTCCGGTGCACAGGTTGTTGTGGTTCTATGTTTGTAGAGCTTTCTTTCATAGATACTTCTGGTATAACTTCATTACACTGTACATGTCTAGAAGTGACATTGTTAGAAGCCTTTGGCAGATCATTTGTACAATTGCCTTTATGTTTGAGGACTGTACAGGTTGTCTGAGTACTTGAACTGGTTACACGTTTATTTGCATTTTCACTCAGTTCCCTTTTTAACGACTCGATTTCCTGCGTTAAGCGTTGAACAATTGATGAAAGTTCCTCCACGCGTAAGGCAGAATTACAGCACCTGCTGCATTCTTTAGTTTCATTACACGGAGCATAATTCGATAGGTTCCTCCTTGGCGTAGATGCCATTTGTGGCGGCGGTTGGGAAATAATGATATTTGTTTCATTTATGTCACATGCGTAAACACTTATTTCCTCAATGAATTTCTCGCACCATGATGATGCTGTACTCCCCTGAATATGGAGTACCGAGGTACTTCTGTAAATTGTAGCTGTAACAGATCTGCAACTAGTCTTAAAAATATGGCCATCTCCCTTAGTAGTTTTCTCACATAATAATTCCTGTTGCAAATATGAAAAAATAATTTCATATTTTTCTTGGTCAAAGTTCACAGTAAAGCTCCTCTTATTGGTGGTGACTTTTAGAAAGCTTGGTATGTCCACATTAATATGCACGTCATCATGATTGTCATTTATTGGATTTGTGAATCCAGTAAAAGAATCAAGAAATGATCTAAAAAGACTGGAACTTGAACTCACATCCATCATTTGATTTACTACATAGTGATTATTGAAAACAGGACTTATTTTGTCTTTAATTTGTTTCCCCTCTTTTATTGATATCAAACAAACAATAATAGTCTTCAAATTCCAATTTAGGTAATTGTACTCCAAAGCGTTTCTATGGACTTTTCCTGGAATGAACTATATGCGGTATATTGCATATATTTGCCCCCACAAAAGTCAAATTTGTAAACTTCCTGAAATGTGCTGAATTCAATAAATTGTATGAGAAATATAAATTGACAGAAAGTATTATAGTGTCAAAGCAGTGTATTCACAATTTTTGCTTTTATGACGCCACAAACCAGTCCGATTTTATATCCTTTTACAGAAAGAAGACAAAATGGACAAAATTTCAACAATTTAAGCTTTAAAATTCATAAAGCGCAAGTTTGTTCAGGAACAATTTTGACATATTTCATTGATATTATCATTCTACACATTATATCAAAGGATTGATCCTGAATACACATGCGCTCGATGACTTTTACTCAAAATATCGACAAAATATGTACACATGTACATTTTTCTGTAAAATTCATTAAAAAAATGAAATTTACGTCATGTTTGTGACGTCATTACGTACATATGGCGTCATTACTTATGAAAATATTCAGTGCTTTGAAATCAGCATATACTCCCCTGTTTAAGAACTTAATTCAATATATCTCCATCAAAGTTTGATTGGGGGGGGGGGGGGCAAATATTGGTTACTACCGAATAAAGTTCTTTGCTGAGTTATAATGTTGTCCTCTAATTGTTTTCTAATTAAATACCTAGCATTTTTTTATTTTAAATTCATTTGCCTGTAATTTGAGCAGAATATTCCACATCAGTCATCTAAATACATATTTCTCGGATTCGTCAATAATTGCATTCCTATTTATAAAGTTAATTGTTCATATTTCCGGCGTTTGTTGATGACGTATACAGTGACCACCAGAACGACAATAAGGAGACATCCTAAACCTGCTGCTCCTATAGCGATGTACAGTATGTAATGTTTGTCTTCTTCACTGTCACAATTGACTGCCGCTATAAGGGATTTGAACAATACATTGTAAATCAGAATTTTTCTTGCACAATGCCTGTTTATATATTTCGGCTACATTTGCGATATTCTTGAACACATTATATACTAGTTATTTTCTTTTATTTGATGATTTTACTGACTTTGGAAAATATGTTAAAAATTCTAGTAATAAATAAATTCTAACTTGTGAGAGATTTATTTTTCTATTTAATGTTGGTCATGTCATAAAAAAGTTAGATTCTTAATCATAATTGTTATAATAAAGTTTTAATTCTAATGTTAAGGCTAAATGAATTTTCACTCTGTGTATCTTGAACTAGTTTTTATGATGCAGTCAGCAATTTTTATTCCTGCAATTTATATGAAGTTAATATAAATACTCATAACGTGTCCGTGTGTTCTCTTTATCAATATTATTATTGGCAAGAAAGACAAGAGTCTACATCTCCGTATCTTACAGAAGACTTTCGTTTAGGGAAAAAATAATATGAAAATTTTAAATGAAATTTAGAATTATCATGATCTTTTAAAAAATAGTAGAATTTTTGATAACGAATCAATAGATCTTAAAAGGAGACTTTCTGTAACAAACACATCGTCAAGAAGGAAGTCGAGTCAATTCAAAAGTAACAAATTTACAGTGTCCAAAAATGCATGAATCGTGTCACAGATTATCTTCTCGAAATTCATTTTTCTAATTGTAAAATACTCTATAAGATGCATAAGTAGGAACTTCTTAATTCATACATATTATGTTTCTATTCTTTTAAAAAAATATTTTTAAATTTTTAATTACCACTGAAGTCTGCAGTATCCCCAGTTTTGAAAGATTGGTACTGAAGGTCTTTGGTAACCATAGATAATCCATTTTGCAGATGAAAGGTAGTTTCTTTCAGACACTTGTAGCTCTTGTCATTATTCGTTGTGAGTTTTCTAAGATTGTCAGCAACAACTGACATTTCTTTTCCAAGAACTGCAAATGATTATAAATTGTATATTTTTTTTATACCTGATCTCACAATTATCAATTCTACATAACTTGACTATATTACTTATTTTTCATTTTTCTGCCTTTAATCTTTCGTAGTTGCCAGATTTCAAAGTTTTTTAAGAGTGCCAATATAAATTCTTAACAAATCTGTTCGAAACTCACTGCTATCGACTGCATCCGTAAAGAGGATGTTGTTGTAGTCATACTTCAGTTCTATTTGTGAGATATAGTAGTTATCAACAGGAGTCCCAGCTGATAATAGATCTGTCTTTTGATTCTTGTCAGTTGAGAAGTAAATAGTCAAGATCCAGGCGTCGTAAAAGCGAATGACCATTTGCTGAGAGAAGAGTCCATTCAGAGTTGTGTTGCATTCACCGGACACATTGTACACTGCTGGCAGGGAAACCACTTCTGTGGTTATCTGATATTAAATTAATAACATCCATCACATAAATACATGTACCCCGAATCTTTACTTACGGGAGCAAAATAAAAATACATGTAACTTCAACTTTCAATATTTCAATATATGATAAATATAATTTAATAGGTTAAGGACTAAAATCTATTATAAAAATATTTCTAATTATCATCTCTTCATAACCAAATTATTTTTGACATGTAAAAGTAGATGATGCACTAAAAATGTTGTAGAATTACAATGCAAAAGATTTTCAAAATGTTTATTAAAGAAACATCGTCCTGTGATATGAATATTTGATAAAGTAAAAATATTGCAATGACAAATTCTTAGAAAAAATCACATACTATTCTCTGATTTCAGTATGTTTTCAATATATTAGGAAGATAGAGCTTTGATACTAAAAACAACAAAAGTTTTGATTAGATCAACGACGTATTAATTATTGTTAAAGCAAATTCAAGGGAGGCAAAAAACATCAAAGAATTGGAACCATAACCCAAATGCCTCAAGAATCTGCTTGAAATTGCAGTAATTAATTTTATCTACGCAATATTTTGAACAATTATGAATATGTTGTATTAGGTTATTTTTGCAGTAATAGAAAAAAAAATTCAAACAAAGCAAGAAACACAATCAAGGAAACAGAAAAAAAAGGAGAGGAAAGAAACCCCAAAATTAATAAGGAATTTATTGTATTTGCAAATTCAATTTTTCTAATAAAGAACCTTTTAGAAATTCTAGATACTCATCGCGGAATAAAATGATTGAGAATTAAATGATGAAATACTCATGACTAGTAGAGCAGAAAATTTGCACATAAGGTACATATCTATTATCTTTTGAAATTCAAATTTCTAAGTGAACAAGTATACTACTTGTAATAATAGTGATCTCAGACTTACGCCAGTTTTTGAAATATACGGAATATAGAACTGGATGCTTCCTTTGAATAAAACACAGGTCTTATTACCATTCAATACAGAATATATATTAACAGGAGAGTAACCTGGAGCTGGAATGGGTCCAAAATCTGCCTCACAATATACTCCTGAAACAGAATAGAAGAATTTATATCTAAAAAATCTATCACAAAGGAAGATATTTGCAAGATCCAGTAAATGCTCAATTTACATGTATTTTCGAAAACGGGTACAAAGAATCAAGCAGAGATTAGGTAACTTTTCTACAGTACATTTAACACACATACATGTCACTATGAAATGGACCTTTATCTTTTTTTAATCTAATACTTATCCATGTATGTTTGTAAAATATTTACCATTTTCTGAGAACCTTCCGTCTTCAACATTAAAGGCCTGCATTTTTAACTCCATGTACATGAAGGCCAGGGTACTGTCCGAAAAGTTTCCCTCCTTTTCACACTTGTAATATAACTTAGGACTTGACAAATTCACTTTATCAGTCACTGAGTGGTTGAAATCAGCTGACAATAAATATATACATTGTCAAATAACAACAATACTTCTGATTAACATAAAAAATTAAACAAAAAATGGCCGTAGAGTCTTGCAATCATGCATATTTAGATAGTAACTCTATAAAACATTTCAGTGTTCTATCGAGAATATGTTTACAGTTCAAGACCTTTGTCTACTATTTTGGAAAAGTTTTCTTTTTCGACGAGCTATTTTTATGGCAGAGTTATACTTTAAAACGTATAGAGCCAGTGATATGATTTATTTGGTTTAGTTTTCATGTGACAAACATATATTCATTTGAGTTTATAAAATGCTTAAATTATGTGATATTTTATCCACGGAAAGCCACCATAATAAAGTTTTTCGATTATTCACAATAATTGTGGATGGGATGGATGATAAAGTAACTACCAGTAGGTAGACAGTCTGGTAATTTCACCTTTTCAGGAGGTCAAACTAACTATAACAATTTAACCAAATTGCTTTATGCATATAAGGTATATACTTAATCAAAAGTCACTTGTCAATATCATTATTTTAAGATAATGTCAGATCCCTTACAAAATACACTATTGTTAAATATAGTAAATCAAAGTGTCAAAGTTATCACTATAGTGAATTAAAGTTTTCAAAGCGATTGCTATAGTGTCATTATTATCACAATAGTTAATCTAAGTTACCAATATAGTAAATCAAAGTTTACCCCATAGAAAATCAAAGTTTTATAGTGATCACTAAAGTTAATCAAAGTTTTCATAGTTATTACTTAAGTAAATCATTGTGTCAAAGTTATCACGATAGTTGATTGATTGTATATTGTTTAACGTCCCTCTCGAGAATTTTTCACTCATATGGAGACGCCACCACTTGCCGGTGGAGGGCTACAAATTTTGTCCTATGCTCAACACTCAGGGCCTTTGGGCAGTGAGGGATCTTTTTCGTGCCAGCACCTATACTGCGACACGGGGCCTCGGTTTATACGGTCTTATCCGAAGGACCGGTCTCCACGTCCCGCAGTGGGAATGACTCCTTACTTCGCAGACGCTCTAACCACTGCGCCATGCGGGCAACTATCATAATAGTAAATGCTAGCAAAGTTAGCACTGTAGCAAATCAAATTTAAAGTGTCAAAGTTAGCACTAAAGTTAACTAAGTTAAAATAAACTTTTCTGTAGTATTTTTTGTAAGGGAAGGTTGAGATACATCAACTAAATCGATGTTGATTTGACATTGATAAAAATCATAATATTCATGTATATATAAAGAAAGAGAAAGTTGGGAAAAAATTAAATATGGATCTACTATTAAATCTTTGACTTTACATTGTTGATACCTACGTTCTATGGCATCCGAGATATTTACATTAGCAAACCAAGACATAAGGTTAGATTTTCCGTTCATTATTTCAAAATTAAATATCAAGGATTGAATTTCTCCATCTTTTGGTGTGATAGTGAGACCAGAAAGGTTTTCATTTCCACTGGCACATGTTCCTGTGACAGTGACATCACTACTCACTGGAACATCCACTGTTGTAGTAGCCTGTATAATGAATGAGGACTTATTACTACGTACATGTACATGTAAATAAAGTTTTGTTCACTGAATATAAGGGACATATTACTGGTTTCCAACAATCCATTCTTGATATAAGAAGATTTGTTTGATACGTTTCTTAAATACTCTGATAAAAGATTTCTGCATGATCCATAGAGATCTGTTCTTGTTAAGCATATAATTTCTTCATTTTCATGTTATGTTGTTTCGCCCAGGTTTTTCAGCTGACCAAAATCTGATCAAAACCTCTTAACCTTTAAAGAAAGAGAAGTCGCGCGGTTTATAAAAAATATGAAACAATCCTACATAACAAAGCTGAAATAATTTAAAGAATAAATAATGTAAACGTGATGACTTTAACTTTTCTATCGTCAATTTCCCTTACTTATGCAGCAATATACCGTCATCATCTGCATACGGAGTATATATATCTCAGTTGATTCGATACGCAAGAGCATGCTCTACGCATGAACAATTTCTAAAATGAGGTAAATTATTGACAAGCAAGTTGACAAAACAAGAATATCAACAGTCCCGTTTAAAGTCACCATTTCGTAAGTTCTATGGTCAATACAATGACCTTGTCAGCAAATACAATTTATCATTGAGTCAAATGCTGACTGACGTTTTTCATACCAATTGTTAGTCCATTATTTATACACTGAATTGACGACGGATTTTTTTCTGTTATTTCCTGATAATGACAAGGAGCACACAGCGGGTGTGACAGGTCGGCAGGGGATGCCCACTCCTCCATGGCACCTGATCCCACCTCTGATGTTTAGGGGGTTCGTGTTTGCTCTGCTCTTATTTTGTATTGTTTTATGGACTTTGAGAATGAATACTGTTCGTTATCTTCATATCCTTCTTACATGTACAGGTGTTCTAGCAAACTTGCAGTCTTCCAAAACAATTTAAACAGTATTAAAGTTCATGAAAGAAATTGGGTACCTGTAAAGTGCGAAGCGAAATAGAAACAAAACGAAACGAACTGAAACGAAACGAAATCTACCGAAACGAAACGAAACCTACCGAAACAAACCGAAATCAAGACGAAACGAAACGAAATCAAAACGAATCTGCCGAAACGAAACGAAACAAAACTTGAAAGTGGGGGGGGGGGGGGGGGGGGTTTAACCAACAACAAAGGTAAACCACAGTTTTCAATGCTTATATAATATATATCTTTGCAAGAAGGTGGGGTTGGGGATGGGGGCTAATCCCCCCACCCCAGCCGCTTCTGACGCCTATGCCATATTTTGTTAATACCTTACTAAATAATTTACCTACTCAAAAATGACATCGTTCGCTTAGAGAGACTTTTTACTTGTCAGTTAAATCGTTTTAGACATCTCTGGTCGAGCCTTTTCATTGCAAACCCCAATATTTCCTCGAAAATTACCTCGATAAAAATAGGACCGTATGTACGTAGAAAGGATACACAAGATTTCGGTTGGAGTTATACATGTATAATCTGATTAACCATAAAACCAGACACCTTGGAATGGAATACTAAATACTCTAAGTCTCTGGTTAATTTCAAATTTCGGGCTTTTGTTGAAACGCCATCTATATACTGGGGGTCAATCAAAATCTGATAGTGTTTAAAATTTTGTAGAAAGATTCCAATGAAATCTTACAGTTTTATTCTCCTTTGTGATATAAGTCACTTTTAGCTGGAAGCGTCCCTCCAAGATGAGACAGACTTTGGAGTTCTCTTTGACTTCATATCTGGACTTTGGTGGAAATGAAGGATTTGGAGGTAAAGTTGTAGGACCCCCAGATGGGACTGTTGTTTTTTCTGTTGTAGCATTGGATGAACCCACCGTTGTTACATCAGAGGGACCCACTGTTGTTATATCATATGGTTCTGTTGTGGGTTGAGTGGGTTCAGAGGTTGCTTTTGTTGTCTCTTGTGCTACAGATGTCATCTGATCAGCACTACACACAAACACTGAAATACAGCGTAAAATATGTGTGTGAAATAGATTTAAAAATATTCCCTTTATTTTGTCTTAGAACAACAACATGGATTAGACCATCCAGATATATTAAATATCTTTCTATGCATTCGTACATTTGATATTTGTACCTAACACCTATAATTTTAGACTTTTTAGATCACTTGAGCCGAAGACTCAAGTGAGCTTTTCTGATCAAAATTTGTTTGTTGTCTGTCGTTGTTGTCGTTGTAAACTTTTCACATTTTCATCTTCTTCTCAAGAACCCCTGGGCCAATTTCAAGCAAACTTGTTACAAAGTATCTTTAGGTAAAGGGGATTCAAGTTGGTTCAAATGAATGGGCACGCTCTCTTCAAAGGTAGGATAATTATAAATTTGTGAAAAATTAATGGCATTTAAAACAAGAGGCCCAGGGGCCACAGCGCTCACCTGAGCACATCAGCTAGGAAAAAAAAGCACATATCATGATTTGGACGAACTAGAATCTACACTACCTGAGGATAATTCTACATAAATATTACTAATTATGGCTTTGATGTACTTGAAAAGAAGATTTTAAAAGGTTTCCCTATATATTCCTTTGAGAATGTTTGGTCAGCCATGTTGGCTCCACCCTACCCCCCGGGGTCATGATTTGAACAAACTTGAATCTACACTACCTGAGGATAATTTTCACACGAGTTTTATCTTTCCTGTCTCAATGATTCTTGAGAAGAAGATTTTTAAAGATTTTTCTATATATTCCAATGTAAAAATTTGATCAGCCATATTGGCCCCACCCTACCTCCAGGGGTCATGATTTGAATAAATTTGAATCTGCACTATCTGGGGATGATTCAACATGAGTTTCATCTTTCCTGACAAAGTGATTCTTCAGAAGTAGATTTTTAAAGATTTTTTCCTATATACTCCTATGTAAAACTTTGATCGGCCATTTTGGCCCCACCCTATCCCCGGGGGTCATGATTTGATCAAACTTGAATCTACACTATCTGAAGATGATTCCACATGAGTTTCATATCTTTCCTGACCCAGTCGTTCTTGAAAAGAAGATTTTTTAAAAATGCCATTAATTTTTCTCAAATTCATAATTATCTCCCCTTGGGAAAGGGCGTGGCCCTTCATTTGAACAAACTTGGTTCCTCTTTACCCAAGGATACTATGTAGCAAGTTTGGTTGAAAATGGCAAAGTGGTTCTTGAGAAGAAGACAAAAATATGAAAAGTTAACAACAACGACGACAACGACGACGACGACAACAACAACGACGACAGACAACGGACAAATTTTGATCAGAAAAGCTCACTTGAGCCTTTGGATCAGGTGAGCTAAAAAAAAACCTTCTTCTCAAGAACCACTGGGCCAGGAATAATGAAACTCATGTTGAATCATCTTCAGGTAGTGTAGATTCAAATTTCTTCAAATTATGGCCCCCGGGGGTAGGGTGGGGCCACAATGGCCGATCAAAGTTTTACATAGAAATATATTGGAAAAAATCTTTAAAAATCTTCTTCTCAAGAACCGTTGAGACAGGAAAGATGAAACTCATGTTGAATCATCCTCAGGTAGTATAAATTCAAGTTTGTTCAAATCAAGACCTCCGGGGGTTGGGTGGGGCCACATTGGCCAATCAATGTTTTACATAGGAATATGTAGGGAAATCTTTTAAAATCTTCTTCTCAAGTACTGTTCTCAAAGTCATGATTAGTGATATTTATACGGAAGCATCCTCAGGCAGTGTATTAAAGTTTGTTCAAATCATAACCCCAGAATAGGGTGGGGTCACAATGGGGGATCCAAGTTTTACATTAAAATACATTAGAAAAAAATGTCCTTCTCAAAAATAGCAAAGCCATAATTACTGTTATCGTCAGGTAGTAAATTAAATTTGTTAAAATCATAACCCACAAGGGTAGGATGGGGTCTCAATGGTGGATTAAAGTTTTATAATGGGAAAATAAAAGGAAAAATTCCAAGAACAGAAAAGCTATTTAGTCATATTGACATGTAAGCATCTTCATATATTGAAGATTTGAATTTGTTCAAATCATGACCCTTTGGGGTTGGGAGGGAAACAATGGGAAATCAAATTCAGTTTATAACGAAGTAATATATACAAACAAAATGTAAAAAAAAAAATTAAAAACCTCAAGAACAGCAAAGTTATATGCTGTATTGATATGGAGGCATTCTCAATTAGTATTAAAATTCAAGCCCCCTTCCCACCCAATCCCCCGTAAACTTTTCAATTCTGATCTGATTTGTGCTTTTTCCTAACCGATGTGCTCAGTGAGCGATGTGGCCCCTGGGCCTCTTATTTTATAATTGTAACTGGGCATCTTAAATCTTTTATGTATAATATTGATGAAAAGAAAAGTAAGCTGATGGGGCAATTATTTTGCTTTAAGGCTTTGGTGTCATTTTTGTTGTTAAAAAAATGACCCACCCACCCCCGCCCGGTCATTTTTCCATGTGGTTAATATTTGTCTATATACCAGCAATAAAAATGAACCTAAACTAAAGATTTACATACTAAACATATATTTCTTTCAGCTGATATATGAAATATTGATGTTTTAAACAAGATTATGATACTATATAACTAACACGACTTTAGCTCTGCTGGTGTCTATTTGTAATAAACTAAAGAAAGGTATATTTTATTATGATATAAATGTAAAAAAAAATAAATTATGAGTGGCTTAGTTAATTGTGATAATTCAATGAAGAAAAAAAGCTCAAGAAATTCCAGATGAAAAGTGTACCATCAATTTTACCTCATATGTGAAGTTATAGAATGTGTATTAACACCTTACCGTCAGTGCTGAGTTTTCCATTTTTTATATTAAAAGCCTGAATCTGCACATTAGACATGTCCATGTTCATGGTATAAGTGGTCCCTTCCAGGTCCCCAGTTAATGTCATTCTCTGGGAGGAATCACATCGATAAAGCTGGGTGTCAAATCCAAGTTTCAAGTCTCCAGTGTCCAACAAACTTATTGTATCTGTAATTTTTATCAAGTAATATTTTTGTAATGAAAATGGATAAAAGGGTGAAAGATTTTCAAATCTTTTTCTCTTTGTATATTAATTGATTACTATAAACAAATACTATTCTCGTTAGCTTTTATTTGTCAGTTTGAAATTAATCCGCGGCGATAAATTTTCGCGACTGAGGAAAGTTTCTTTACGAATGGACAGCAAAAGAAATGGTTTGCGGCAATTAATATTGGCGAGTTAAAATAGGTATTTATTGCACGCAAATAAAAGTTTGTAATTACAACTTACTTGGTATGGGTATTCCTGGAAAGAACTTTACTGGAGCAAATGTAAACATCAAGCTCATGTTTACTGATAAATAAGGGAGAGCATTGAAAGTCAAGGCCAAAAGGTCTTCGTTGGAATTTGTCAATGTCAATACAGCCTGATATTCTCCTACAGTTGCACAATCCCCACTCTTCACTGTGAAGTTATTTCCATCAAATCTTACTACTTCCTCTCCATCACTCAGGGTAAACACAACATTCATCTTGACATCAATACAGGTTTCATAGTTGTCGTACATGTACTTATATTCTGATCCTCGTGTCAGTGATAATGCTTAATTTGTAAGTAAATGAATAATAGTTAATATGATAATATCAAAGCCAAGTCGGTAATTTTCAAGCAAAGTTTGAATAACTTCATGTTTATTCAAAATATATTGTAAAACAATACCACCTATGGAAATACAGAAAAATATATGCTGCCTGTGTATTATCTTCGCAAAAATGTGCATGTACCAACTCAAACAAATGGACTTATCTTGTTGTAAAACGATGAAATATAATCATGCATACTTCATTCTGTATTTTCCAAAAGTATAAAATTAAATCAGAAATCATTTCATGGAATTTTCTATATATTCCGAATTCTTAAAATTGCTACAATGGCTTCATTGGCTGCCCAGAGCCTTTTGGTCTGCTCTATTAATTTACAAGTTTCCGATTAACCTAGCTGTAGTACAAGTGAATGAGTGGCAATTTTATAATGCAACTACGTATTATTTGATAAAATCGGACGACGGATGGTCTGCAAAGAAACAGGTTATAGTTACAAATTTTGTCAAAAGAGTTAGTAATGTCATGAAACGTAATGTGCACTTCACTTTTGCGGGAGGTAAGCGGTAAAGAATTTGAAAATATTTACAATCTAATGTAAACTTCTCAGATGGTTGTTAGCAAACTAGGTGTCAAATGTTATGGATGTGTTTATTTAAGGAATGAATTTAATAGCTACCCATTTTACACGGTATAAATACGGTTGGGGCAGTTTGTACCCATTTTATACGGTATAAATACGGTTGGGGCAGTTTACGCTTTATAAACCGCGAAGCGGTTTATAAAAAAGCGTAAACTGTTCCAACCCAGTTTATACCGTATAAAATGGGTAGCTATTAAATTCATTGCTTATAATTCAATTTTCATTCATTTGATGTAAGAAAAAAAGATGATTGTTCAAACAAATTGACTTCAATTTGTACAAAATTTGAATGTAACGTCTGGCGGATTGATACGTTTTTGACGTAAGTCATTGTGACGTAGGCAACCCATTTTATACGATATGAAGTAAATTTTTTATCCAATCAAATACAGCGTTACAACCAGAATTAAATTATATGAATGTGGAAGACGCTACAAACCGCGTATGAAGTTAAAAGACAGAGTCAATTTATGAATCTTTCACTATGTTAATGTTTTGGACGTTGCATTTGTCATTAACCGTGCTTCGTGGTGACAAATCATGTTGCTTTAAAAGTTGGCTAACACGACTTCCATTTAATCAAATGGAATGAACTTCACACATCGAAAAAATAAAATGTTTTTACATATGAAAGTATGCTGATCTTTAATCTTGTAAAAATAGTATGATAAGGAGGAACATTGTCTACGTATTTTTTGAATGACCCTCGTATATTATTAAAACGTTAACAAAATTAATTTTTTCTTTCAATATTTGAATCTCTCATTTTAATTCCCATTAAGGATTTTAATAGCATTTAATTTTTTTATTACTTACCCCAAAGGAATATCGTTCCAACGGAAATTGCCTTGCAAATGTGTTTTGACATCGAACGTTCGGGTGCCGGGGGAAATATGTCTCAAATAAGTTCTAAATTAGACTTTCTAAGAGAGGGCATAATCCAAATCATTACAAATAAAAATTATAAGCAAACATGTAAATGTATACACATAAATACATACATATTATAGAGTATGAACTGAAGGATTTATCTTTGTATACTTTTATCAAATGATTTTATGGCAAACTGTTATCTCACAAGATACTGTACACAACTTGTGGATATATTGCACCATCGTATACCCTTTCCCATCTTGATGAACATTGGTTATCTATATACTACTCCATATTTTTATTAAAATTTATAAACAATGGAAAAATGATTAGATAAATTAATTTTTACAAAGAAAAAAATGACTATTTCTAAATGATTGAAACATAATAAAATTGAGCAAATGTATGAAAAAAGGGCAACGTTAGAGAAAATGTTATAATGAAAACACACATAGTGTTTTATTAATCCTTGATTGATATCTCTTCGTACGGTTCATCCTTCTTTAAAACTTCATTATAAAATAAGGTTCTAAAATAATAATACTATCTGGCAGCAAACTTACTATAACTAAACAGTAACTACTTTGTACATTCAAAAAGTCTAATATTCTTTAAAATGTATTTTTCTTGAGGCCAAGAGTTGAATTAACTTGTATGAGACAGCTACTTCCAATTTTCAGTTTTACAGTGATTGTATCTATGCTATTTTTGAAAAAAGAGTATTCTTAATAATACGTGAATCCCTTTTCCGGAACGTGTGCAGCATCAGAGGCCAAAATATAACTTATTTTCTTTTCAGTTTAGGATAGATTATTTAATTTCAACGTCTTCGATGACAGATTTTATTTCAAATTTTTTAAATTCCATGGAACATTATAATTTTGAAAATGGATTTTTTTTCCGAAATCAATAGCATCAAAACGCATGACTTTTTAAACTTTTTATACAGCCATTTGACATCATGTGCATTTGCTTTTTGATATTACTTAGATTGTCTTTTTCTTGTCTTGTTTAAACTTACATCGTCACTGGTTAATTTGAGATTTTTGTTTAAAACATTCTGATTGTACTCACAAGTATGCCAAAAGTTTTTTTTTTTGGAATCAAGTTTTCCAACGATCATTCGAAATTCCCTTCGCGGGCTTGGGTAAGATGCACCGCGTTATTAGCAATTTTTTTTGTATTCATATATAGGGAGCAGAATTTATATATTTCCCCATGGCACAAGTTGACCTTATAAATAATGTTTTGAATCAATATTATTTACAATGATTTTTCTTAATTGTTCATTTATTGTTTAGCCGTTATCTAAGTTCGTAGAGTATTTGAACATTTCTTCAAGCACCTTTGGTTTACTTTTCACAGGTCCTATGACTTGAACCTAGTCTTTTTGTCCCCCGCTTTCGCGAAAGCGAGGGGACATTAAATCTCATTCGTCTGTCTGTCTGTCCGTCAGTCCGTCCGTCAGTCTGTCCGTCACGAAAACTTTAACCTTGCCCATAACTTTTGATTTAATGGAGCTATGACTTTCATATTTCACATGTGTATTCTTTGTGACAAGACCTTTCTTTGGGTACCACCAAATTTGACCTTTTGACCTTGACCTTGGAGTTTGACCCACTTTTACACAAAAATTCCAAACTTCTACTTTGGCCATAACTTTTTAATAGTAGGTACTAGGACTTTCATATTTCACATATGTATTGTTTGTGGCAAAACCTTTCATTGGATAACAACAATCTTGACCTTTTGACCTTGATTTTGGAGATTTACGTACTTATGAAAAAACTTTAACCTTGACCATAACTTTTGAACGGTGAGGACGAAGGCTTTCGTACTTCACATATGTAATCCTTGTGAGAAGACATTTCATTGGATACCAATAACTTTTGCCCTTTGACCTTGACCTTAGAGTTTTAATTACATTTTAAAAACTTTAACCTTGGTTACAACTTTTAAACAGTAGATACTAGGACTTTTATATTTCACATATGTATTCCTTGTGGCAAGACATTTCATTGGATACCAACAACCTTGACCTTTTGACCTTGACCTTGGAGATTTATTTACTTATGAAAAAACTTTAACCTTGACCATAACTTTTGAACGGTGAGGACTAGGGCTTTTGTACTTCACATATGTGATCCTTTTGAGAAAACCGTTCATTGGATACCAATAACTTTTACCCTTTGACCTTGACATTGGAGTTTTAACTACTTTTTAAAAATAATTTAACTTTGGTCACAACTTTTGAACGGTAGATACTAGGACTTTTATATTTTACATATGTATTCTTTGTGGCAAGTCCTTTCATTGGATTTCAACAACTTTGACCTTTTGACCTTGACCTTAAAGATTTATGTACTTATGAAAAAACTTTAACCTTGACCATAAATTTTGAACAGTAAGGGCTAGGGCTTTCATACTTCACATATGTAATCCTTGTGAGAAAACTTTTCATTGGATATCAACAACTTTGACCCTTTGATCTTGATCTACTTTTAAAAAACTTTTTACTTTGGCCATAACTTTTTAACGGTCAGGATTAGGGTTTTCATCCTTCAAAAAAATCAACTTCAGTGTTACTTTCTAAATAAATGACATATGATAGGATGTTCGTATTACACACAATATGTCATAAAAATAACATCTCACCCACAAAGACACCGAAAGCGGGGGACCACAATTCTTTGAATTTGCTTGTTTAGAAATACTTCTTCTCTCTATTATTACTCTCTTAATATTTACCTTCTCTGTTTCTTCTCAGATTTCTGCTGAGGTCTGCTGCTTTTGCAGTGCTTTTATAGCAAAAATATTTACTAATACATGGCACCCGATCTCACCTCTGATGTTTTAGAGGTCCATGTTTACTCTTCTCTCAATTTGAATTGTTTGAATGCACTTTTGAATTTGAATACTGTTCGAATATCTCCATATTTCAGTGAATCTATTAAAAGACAAACATTGCAAACCGAAGTGTTATAATGTTTGTTCAAATTACTGACCCTGAGATAATAACATCAAGGCAAGTTTATTAATCTTATTTACCATAAAAAATAGTATCTATATGTACAAGTTGTCTGAATTCAAAAACGATTATAGCTTTATTGATCAATGTAGATTCCACAATATGAAATCATTTTTCATGAGAATAAGGAGGAAAATGGCTTCCTTCTAAGGAAACCAAAGTTATTCATGTTAAAATTTCATGCTAAATGATCACATCTCGACGAAGTAGAGATTGATACCTCGGCGTTGACGTCGGCCGCGGTCCCGTTAAAGTTTTAGGAACAAGTCCATTCCAAAGTAACTATAACAAGATAAGCAAGTATAAGCAAATTTAAGCAAATTTACATGGGTGATGCATCTAAGGGTGGACAATACCAGACTTGCTCCAGATGCTGGATTTGACCTACATATTCCAGATGAGGGACCAGATTAAAGTTTTAGGAGCAGGTCCATACCAAAGTAACTGTAGGTCCTATCTGGACCAAATTTACATGGATGGTGTATCAAGGGATGCACACTACCAGACGTACTCAAATGCTGGATCTGTCCAATATTTTCAAGATGAGAGACCAGGTTAAAGTTGTAGGAACAGGTCCATTCCCAAGCCCTACCTAGACCAAACTTACATGGATGATGCATTTAGGGATAGACACTCAAGAAACTTAACTTGCTTCGGATACTGGATCTAACCTACATTTTCCAGATGAGTGACCAGGTTAAAGTTTTTGGAGCAGTTCTTTTCCCTAAATAACTATGTATATGCTCTATCAGGACCAAACCTAAGATGAAACATCTGGGGATGGGCACTAACAAACTTGCTTTGGATGCTTAATCTGACCTACACTTTCTAAATTAGTGACCAGAATAAAGTTTAAGCAGGTCCATTCCCAAGTACCTATATTCTCTACCTTGGACCACCTTAATTATAATGTTTGCGTGTCCTCTCCGGACTCAGGAACATTTCCATTTCAATGATTGATTTTTACAATATATTTTCCAGAATACATAAAAGAATTAATTGTTTGCTGAATGGAGGTAAAAAAAAGATTGAGTCGGATTTTAGCCAATTTTAGGAGAGGGCAACCAAACAATTTTTAAAGATGGTCTTGAAAGATTTTTTGGAGGGGATCTATTACCAAGTAACTATATATGCCATGTCTGAACCAAACTTGCAAGGATAATACATCCATAGGATTGGACATTTAAAGAACCTGCTTCGGATGCTGGATCTGACCTACATTTACAGATGAGTGCGTATTGAGGTTAAGGTTTTTGGAGCAGGTCCATTGCTAAGTAACAATAACCATTACCTGGATGAAACTTGCAAGAATGATGCATGAATGAACACTGTCAGACCTGCGTAGGATGCTGGATCTGATCTTTTCTTCAGATGAGTGACCAGGTTAAAATTTTTAGCAGGTCCATACCGCAGTAATTATATACCCTAGCTACCTTGACCAAACTTCTACATGGAATTATGCATGCATTTAAGAATGGACAAGATACAAATCTCACTTCTGATGCCGGATCAGACTTACATTTTTCACGTATTAGTTAATACTGTGAAAGCATTTAAGTAAAAATAATTCTCAAATCTTTTAAGTTTAATACTGATGGAGATTGTTTATAAGTGAATAAAGTACATCCATATACTTCTAAATTTTAAGCACACACCAACGTATTAGATATGAGCTTATGCTATTACCCCGGCGTCGACGATGGTAGCGTCGTGGTTTTAGGAGAAAGTCCACAGCAAAGTATAGGCCCTACCTGGACCAAACTTGCATGGATGATGAATCCAGGAATGGACTCTACCAGACTTGCTTTTGATGCTGGATGTGACGTAATTTTTTTTGGATGAGTAACAGTGTTAGAGCAGGTTCATTCCCAAGTAACAATAAAGTGCCACGCCACAGCATGATACGCCCGTCAAAAAAATACAATTTCAATGTATCTTAAACAGTTAAAAGTGCAGGAAAATCATGTCAACCTTGATTTTAAGATTTCAATGATTTTTACACACCTTAAAAAATTTGTTTATCCATCTCCTGTGGTGTAGGCATTAATTATAACAAATATTGCATCATTCATAGATTTCAATACCTTGCCAAATGCCTATCATATTAAACAATATCAAATTAGTCTTCACAACTTAATCTATACCTAATTAATTTTGGAAATAAAAGGATGGCCATCAAATATAAACTGACCAACAGTTCTTCTGTCTAATTCCCGAAGGATACAGATAAGACCATGCTCTGAAGAAATGAAAGAGACATGCAGCTAGCCTTCCCACATTGAACACATTAATTAATCTTTAACTGGATGCTTGTCTACTCATTACTCCCAAAAGATTATTGGATCTGCACTATCTATCATAAAACATTTTTAAAACATATAAAACATCAATGATTTTTTTTTAAAGATTTAATGTCAGACAGTTAATTGTTAATATGCAATTCATATGGACATGCAGATTCCACCCCTACCTCCATAAAATTAATTTTTAAGTTCATAATATTATGTAATATCAAAATAGTTTAATATGCAATATCAAATTATTTTTAATTACATCTCATCAAATTCATTTTAAAACTTCGGCTAGCCAACAAGAGCTATTTTTAATCCAACAGGCTTACATTTGGCCCAATACTCAAGGGATATAGATAGCACCGATGCTCTTACAGCTATACTCCTCACACTAAACTCATTAATTTCTCTCTAATTTGACATGTAATTTTCTGTTATCAAAATTCTTCTTGACCAGTGCTTGATAATTAGACTCCTGGGAGTGGTGGAATTTCTCTAACATACATTATATTTGTTATAGATTGCTGTCAAGTATATGCTAAAAAAATAAGTATTTTCTTGATTTAACATTTTTCTAATAAGGTTAGTGCAATAGTTTTACATTTTTTTGAATGTGTAAATGAATAGAAAAAAAGACATTTTTTTTTTAAATTCCACTTCAATTAAAGGTCACAGTGACCTTGAAATAGGTCGCGACACACCCTCTACCTAAGATGCATAAACTGGCCAAGTTTGATGATTCTAAGTCTGATAGTTTTCTAGTTATGGACCGGACAGGATTTTTCCATATTTGGCTGTAACTTTTTAATTATAGGTCAGAGCGACCTGCTTTTTGTGCGCGACACACCTTCTACCCAAGATGTATCAGCTGACAAAGTTTGATAACTCTAGGCCTTATAGTATTAAAGTTATGAGCCGGACACGAGAAAAGCTAACAGACGGACGGACGGACAGACGGACAGACAGACGGACACGAAGCCTATAACATAATACGTCCCGTCTTAAGACGGGCGTATAAAAAACCCTACCTGGTCTAAACTCGCAGTGATGATACATACATGGATTAACATTACTACACTCGATGGATTTGACCTTTCTTTTCTAAATGGGTGGAATTTATCCATTTTAAATGGATTTTTTAAACCAAATTAGAATTATATACATGTACATGTATCAAGGAACACTTCCAGACTTGCTTTCGATTCAGAATCAGACCTTTGATGTTTAACAGGAGTAAATAGGGTAATGTTATTGGAATAGCGTTACTTTTCATAACTTTTATATAAACTGCAAAATTTTCAAAAGTTAGGCTAATGAATGATATAGATCAATTCACAACAAATGAGGACGGGGGATACCATAAAATAGGTCACCTGAGTGATTCAGTTGACCTTAAAATATTATATTCCTTCACTTCATGACACTATGTGACATGTTTAACAGAGATCAACCTAATATACCCAAATTGAGGATTAAAACTCACTTGAGACCCTGCATTGCATGAATGAAACACAGATAGATTAATATTATATCCCAAGCTTGTCCATTGGCACTGTATTGATATTCTACTTAGTGCATTTACTATGTTTTTTCATACATCTTGAGAAAAATATTTGACGAGTCCCTCATCATACTATTCCTGTATATTATTTTTCTTTAACCATTCATTCACAAATCAAAAACTAATGATGTTTTTGTTTCACATTGTTTTTTTATTGCACACATCATATTTAAATGCTACTCAATACATTTTGCTTACCGGTAAGTGATCAAATACAAAAAATCCTTTTATGCACGAGAAATACAAATATGAAATGCTTAAAATACATATATCTATCCTAGAAACACAACTCATTCTTCCAAACAAGGCAATTTTGACCTATACATTTTATAGTACAACTCAATAAAGGTTATCAATTTCTGAAGCTGTTGTTGACAGGTACATGTATGAGAGAGATGATTGTTTTTAAAAAATTCAAATGCAAACTTTACACATTGCTTTGCAATACATACAAATAAGAAGTTATCTACAAATAAATTATTTAAAACACAGATGACCTGACTCTGTACATGAAGTAAACATGAGGTAATTCTTGTTCTACACAACTATGATAAAACATAAGCACAGTGAATATTCTATACAAACATATCTACAAATAATGATTATGGACTGATTATTTCTCCCCTCCAAAATAATTTGTCTTTCTGTGTATTACATAATATCATGGGATCATAAGTTATGATATGTGAAATAAGGCAAAACAAAGCATTAAGTTGTGCTGGCAAACAGATTCTGTTAAACATACAGGGCACTGCTAAGAAATAAGCTTTATTTCTATTTCTTAATCAACTGTTACACATACGGAATATTAAGCAGTTATTTTTTTCTTGATCAGTGGTCTGGTAGACCTTACTATAGAACTTTACATGTTAGTACACTGGTAGGTGGGTCATACATGTAAAATGACCATGGTGACAAGACCTGTAAAATAATGTACAAAATATTTATGACTTTATCTGCTGGTAACAACTACTTTTTTTAATTTCAAAGAAAAATTATCTGACTAGCTGTGAACTTCTGGAAGATTAATTCAAAAGAAACATGAATCATGTATCTATGTGATCAATGCCTAGTATTTATATAAGCAACAATTACTCTTTTTTTTTAATCCATTAAAGAATGGACACAAAGAACTTCTCAAAATTTCATCGAAAATTTGACATATTACTTATTATTTAAATAAACTTGGTCCCATCAAAATAAGTAAACATTCTAATGCAATTGTTTTGTAAAACACTCTTTGATTGGCTAATGCACTGATGTTTGAAGCAGTAAAACGAGCATTAACGAGCGTGAAAGCTTTTTCATTGTGACGTCATAATAGAGCAACGCAAAAATACAATGCTCCGTGACGTATTTCATGTAACAAAATTCAACAAAATAAGACATAAACAACAAACAAAATGCATGGATTGCATTAGAATGGGAATAACTAAACTTCTAATTTGGTATTTGCGACCGTTAATGCAGATTTAACGGTCGCAAACATCTGGTTTACCGGCTCCGCTTACGCGTCACCGGTAAAACTGGCAGTTTGCGACCGTTAAATCAGCATTAACGGTCGCAAATACCAAATTATAAGATAGTTATTCCCTAATTTTACCAAAATTTTAGAATAGACATTTCAATGACTAATTTACCTAGAATATATGCTGCAATCATTTTCTGGTTCACTGTCAGGTGAAGATAATCTGGTAACCTGCTCTCTGTGTCACCACTCAAAGGCAGCATTAGGGCCAGGATACAGGAAACAGCAGTACAAATTACAATCAGACTTGGGCCTCCTCCTCCTCCCCCTCTCCCCTCCTGTCTTATAGCTAAAACAACAAACACAGCAGTAAACATCACAATCAGACTGGGACCTCCTCCCCTCCCCTCCTGTCTTATAGCTAAAACAACAAACACAGCAGTAAAAATCACAATCAGACTGGGACCTCCTCCCCTCCCCTCCTGTCTTATAGCTAAAACAACAAACACAGCAGTAAAAATCACAATCAGATTGGGACCTCCCCCTCTCCCCTCCTGGCTTATAGCTAAAACAACAGATCAAAATCAGACTGGGACCTCCCCCTCCCCCTCTCCCCCCTGTCTTATAGCTAAAACAACAAACGCAGCAGTAAACATCACAATCAGACTGTAACTTCCCCCTTTCCTCTTCTCTTCTGTCTTATAACTAAAACAACAAACACAGCAGTATAGATCATAATCAGACTATAACTTCCCCCTCTCCCCTCCTGTCTTATAGCTAAAACAACAAACACAGCAGTAAAGATCACAATCAGACTGGGACCTCCCCCTCTCCCCTCCTGTCTTATAGCTAAAACAACAAACACAGCAGTAAAGATCACAATTAGTTTGGGACCTCCCCCTCTCTACTCCTGTCTTATAGCTAAAACAACAAACACAGCAGTAAACATCACAACCAGCCTGGGACCTCCCCCTCCCCCTCCTGTCTTATAACTAAAACAACAAACACAGCAGTAAATATCACAACCAGCCTGGGACCTCCCCCTCCCCCTCCTGTCTTATAACTAAAACAACAAACACAGCAGTAAAGATCACAATCAGACTGGGATCTCCTCCTCCACCTCTCCCCTCCTGTCTTATAGCTAAAACAACAAACACAGCAGTAAAGATCACAATCAGACTGGGATCTCCTCCTCCACCTCTCCCCTCCTGTCTTATAGCTAAAACAACAAACACAGCAGTAAAGATCACAATCAGACTGGGATCTCCTCCTCCAACACTCCCCTCCTCTCTAATAGCTAAAACAACAAACACAGCAGTAAACATCACAACCAGCCTGGGACCTCCCCCTCCCCCTCCTGTCTTATAACTAAAACAACAAACACAGCAGTAAATATCACAACCAGCCTGGGACCTCCCACTCCCCCTCCTGTCTTATACCTAAACCAACCTTAACAGCAGTAAAGATCACAATCAGACTGGGATCTCCTCCTCCACCTCTCCCCTCCTGTCTTATAGCTAAAACAACAAACACAGCAGTAAAGATCACAATCAGACTGGGATCTCCTCCTCCACCTCTCCCCTCCTGTCTTATAGCTAAAACAACAAACACAGCAGTAAAGATCACAATTAGTTTGGGACCTCCACCTCTCCCCTCCTGTCTTATAACTAAAACAACAAACACAGCAGTAAACATCACAATCAGACTGGGACCCCCCTCTCTCCTCCTGTCTTATAGCTAAAACAACAAACACAATAGTAAAGGTCACAATCAGACTGGGACCTCCTCTCTCCCCTCCTGCTTTATAGCAAAAAAAACAAACACAGCAGTAAAGATCACAATCAGATTGGGACCTTCTCCTCTCCCCTCCTGTCTTCTAACTAAACAACAAACACAATAGTAAAGGTCATAATCAGACTGGGACCCCCCTCTCCCCTCCTGTCTTATAGCTCAAACAACAAACACAGCAGTAAAGATCACAATCAGACTGGGACCTCCCCCTCTCCCCTCCTGTCTTATAACTAGAACAACAAACACAGCAGGAAAGATCACAACCAGACTGGGACCTTCCCCTCTCCCCTTCTGTCTTAAAGCTAAAACAACAAACATAGTAGTAAAGAACACAATCAGACTGGGACCCCCCCCCCCCCCCCTCTCCCCTCCTGTCTTATAACTAAAACAACAAACCCAGTAGTAAACATTACAATCAGACTGGGACCTTCCCCTCTCCCCTCCTGTCTTATAGCTAAAACAACAAACACAGCAGTAAAGATCACAACCAGACTGGGACCTCCACCTCTCCCCTCCTGTCTTATAGCTCAAACAACAAACACAGCAGTAAACATCACAATCAGACTGGGACCTCCCCCCCTCCCCTCCTGTCTTATAGCTCAAACAACAAACACAGCAGTAAACATCACAATCAGACTTGGGCCTCCTCCTCCTCCCCCTCTCCCCTCCTGTCTTATAGCTAAAACAACAAACACAGCAGTAAAGATCACAATCAGACTGGGACCTCCCCCTCATCCCTCCTGTCTTATAGCTAAAACAACAAACACAGCAGTACTGCTAGTACTGCACAGCAGTACATGTAGCTTTGGATTATGATTTAAAACTAAAACTGCTCATGATCATCTCTGAAGCAATTAAATTTTCTGTAGCCTATGACTACTGTAAACCAACTTTTATAATCATGCAAGAAATTTTCTCGAGGTTTGCGAGAGCCTCGTCATCATAAACATTTGTCGCCGTGAACCGCTCCTTAATATAGCTGTGTCTAATAACTACAGATTAAAAAAAAAGGCATGATCGTGAAAATTAATTGTCGCAAACAAGTTTATTCCTAGTAAATCACAAAATATAGTTGTCACAAACAAAAGTTGGTTTACAGTATATGTTTTACCTCTACTGGGTGTCCCTTGGGGTTCTTGTGAAGCAGATGCAGTCAGTGAATGGAAATTGTCCTCAGGTTGTTGGGAGGGTTCTTTTTTAGGTAGCAGCACTGCCACAATGTCTTTTTTACCTGTATATTTCAAGAGTAATGAGCACCAAGGGAGAATCGATTACCAATTGTTATTCTCACAACTTCACTGATGCTAAGTTGTAAATGTGTATATTATGTGTATGTATGTGTATATAAGAAAAACAATCATAAATCTGACTTAAACATTAATGTTAAAATCAGTTATCTTCATTTAAACATTCACAGAATGATAATTTAAGATGCACAGATATTTAAAGATTTTGGTTTTGAATATATTTGTCTGTTTTATTAAAAATTATTTTGGCCCCTAGCTCATCCTAAAGCTCTGATAAATAACACTAAGTACCAATAACTTTCTTGGTGCCATGCTCAAAGACTTGAATGCGTAGTTTGTCTTTCACTCCTTCATTGTTGATACAGATGTCTAAATGGCGAACAACACTGTAAAATTTGAAAGTTTTATTTACACATTTAAAAAATCAAAATTGCCTGAAGAAAACAAACATTTGTATTAAAGTTATTAAATATGACCATAATTTAGAATATATAAGTTTTTTAAACCATGACAGAAAAAGGGAATCCATGAAAGAAATCTGGAAGATTCCTCAAGCCAATGAGTTTGAATAGGATAAAGAGGTCATATAGACAAGGCTTATTACGAGGAGAAATGAAATAAATGAAAAACAAAAACTAGTTGATCTTCAAATCGTATACTTACATGTCCACACAGCAATGTGGTCTTATAGTTCCTTCAGAATCAACCACTGTGTACTTTCTCGGAGAAGTGCATAAAACTGTAATAAATGTTACTATTACTATGAATTTTAGTCTGATTTCAAGAAAGACTTTTATCTAACTCATTGTGTATTATTTTCTGTCCCCTTTCAAAGGCTTCAGGATAGAACTCATACAAAGAGTTAAAAATTATTATACATCAAGTACATGTATTTGTGTCATTTTATGTCATACACTATTTAAAAAGTCTTGACATTCAATGATCGTCATATACATGTAGGTGAATTACATGCATGTATATTCTTAATGAATACAGTCACAATAGGTGAATATGTTCATTATTTCGCATACCTTTGAATTTGAGTGGAAACTCGTAAGGGTTGTACAGGGTTAACACCTGCTTGTGAGAGGATTGATCATCAGAGTAAAAGTTCAATGATGAAGGAAACACAAACACTGGCAGTTTGCCATCAGAGGACTGAGGGGGCTGTCTTAGCATTGGATCACTAGCTGCTCACACCGGCCCGTACACATCAACCACTCCCTCATACCACCTCTACAGGAAAAAACGAAAACCTACATCAAGGAACAGACATAAAAATTTAAGATTACAAAACAGCTTTGAGTGAAATCATGGTATATACAATTACACTAGGCTACTGTTGATGACTGACATCATATTAATTTTCAGCAATTTTTAGTCAAACATAAGAAAATATAATATCCATTGAATTATTACTTTATAGATATGTCCTAAGAAGCAATTAAAGCATGGTGATCAGCAAGTTACAATGACGTTCCTATGAAAATTAAATATGATAAACAAACGCATATTATGCAATGTTGATCTGTTGGTATCAATATCATCTGTATTTACTGTGAATAATCAATGGAAGATATCTTGCATATCTTATGTAAAAAATTCCCTAGTATATCAATGAATAAACAAACAAATCACAACCTTTCCGTAGAACCACAAATTTAAAACTCCCAGAACAAAGAAATAATAATCTGTTCTAATTTTGGCACAGATCTCATCAGCTGTGTTGTCGTCTTCTATTCTGTTTTGAGAAAAACGTCACCAAAGGTTGTGCAGGAATTAATCTGCGTTGCAGAAACGTTTGAAGCAAAGCATTTATTTGACACAGATTTTAGAAGCATGATGACCGATGAGACTGAGTGAAAAATGCATTGCAGTGAAAATGTTACGCAGAAAGCAGACGTAAACCAAGCTCAGATCAAATTGAGGTATCAGAAACAAAGAGGCCTATATATTTGGGTCTCTGATTTGAAATATTTCATTGAGTACTATTAGCAAGATGAGTAGAAAGGCCCGAATTTTTGCATGTCACCGCACTAACCCGTTAGACTAATGATTTGATATTGGCCTAGTAAAGATTCATTCGAAATATAATTTGAACTTCATAGACCTATGGAATTTTGTAGTTTTAACTAGGGATGCATTGTTGGTCCAGAGTAACTCAACTGCGGAAAAAAGAAAGAAAAACAACAATTGTTCAACAATAAATAAAATTAACTTGCTTTGATTTAATGGATATATTACAGGCAAATAGTCAATAAAACGGTTCTTCATTAAAATCAGCACCATTCAGGTTTCAGTTTGGTAATGCAACTGATGTCGTGATTCAGCAAATGTCATGTACCAAATGTCGAAATGCCGTGTGGTTTGACAAACATGACAAAACTGAATAAGAAACTGCACCATCCCTTTTAATTAGGTTGCACCGTCAACATATAAACATTAAAATGCTTTGTTTTCATAAAGAAAATCAAATGATTTTTAAAAAATCAAATTATTTTGTACTGTTGCAGTCACAAAAAATGGAAAGCTCTTCACAAAAAAGCGAAGAGGAAGCTGAAAAGACAGGAAGAAGCCAGAAAACGCCAACAGGAAATAGACGAAGGTTACTTTTGAATTTTATACACAATCAAATGAAAAAAATTATTTTGCCTTAAGGGGGCCGTCTATAGTTTCCATTGCGCAATATTTCGTGCATCATAGTAAAATGATGCGTATTTACTGTTTTAATGCAATTTTTTTTGCTAAATTATTAAAATTAAACAGAATTAAGAAATTATAGGTATAAAAATGTAATTACAATTTGATATAACTGATTCTTTAACCGATTTTTCAATTGATAGGTAGGTTGACGTCGTTGCAATGTGTTTTTGACGTTATGATAATCTGTAGCTCTTAAAGAAAGGGATAATAAAAATATTATTAAAGAAAAAGTTTATAATAAACATACGCTCTTGAAATTTAAAACATGAAAATTTGAGAATATCTCCAATATTTTTAATTATGTTTTCATGTGAATCCATTTATACGTCATATTTTATAATACTCTATAAAATAGTAAAATTTGCTAATATTTAGCATTTCGAAATGCAAGATGGTAACAAGACGGTAGAATTTTGTGTTTCTTACATATATTGTATAGTATAGTATTACTCATCAAATATTATAGTTTGAACAAAATGTCTATTGTAGTATTTGTATAATTTGCTTTAAAGTGCTGAAAATTGGCATTTTCCTATATAATCCTATAGTAAATGTACCTGTATTTTGAGACAGTCCCTCAAAAATACCTGGACGGTAGATTTCTCCCGAACTTTGCATGTACACTGAAGCTAATGTAAGTTATATATGGTATAAAAATGAACAGTTTCACTATTGTAATTTTCACACAATAAAACTATAGTCGGCCCCTTAAGATGTTCCAAAAATATTGCATTTAGAGAGTTTGTAATTTAAGAGCAAAAGGCTTTTTGAAATTTGGGCAAAGCTTGTAATACTTTGGACAGAAACAACTGACTTGAAATCAAATTTACTATTTATAAATTTATATTAAATATTGTATATTAAGTTTAATTTTCTTAGAAGCAGCGTTTTCCCGAAGAACTGGCTATTGGCCAAATTGACCGCTTCAATACGTTATATCGGGACTACCAATGAGTACCTCGCAGTTATCTAACTTACTACCGCTCTTTTGCGGGGGAGTCGAGAAAAGTCTACATTTCTGGGGGCAAATGACATTGTTTACAGTAGTGACAATCGAATGATTCGAACAATTTAATGCCGAAATCACGACGTTTTGCCAGATATTGAACTCCAAATAGTAGATTGTCAAATAAGGAAAGTTTAGAATATTTTATCTGCTTAAAAATGTGACGATTTTCAATGAAAATTTAACGAGATGAGTCCGCTTAATTAAAAATATCGCTAAAAATTGGACAATTTAGGATTGGCTCCTCTCAAAAATATATTACGCTGGTTCAGCAACTGTTTAGCGAGGTATTCCACTAGGATTTTTTACTTATCTGTCCTTATGAATGCTACAATGATTGATCTTGCATTGTATTGAATAGCACATTGCCCCCACCCAAGAGACGATTCCTACCTCCTTCGCGAAAGAGTTCCGCTAAGTTAAGTAATCGCGATATCAAGTATTGAAGAAATGCTGCTTTGAAATAAAGAGACCAAAATTTAATTGTTGTAAAGTCAGCAAAGAACTTCAGACCCTAGCCTGTTACAACTGATCTCTAAACCTTTATTTTGAAGTAAAGGGAAAATCCTGAGAAGTGTGTACATTTCTTTCCAGAGGAAAAACAAAGAGAAAGCTCAGCATCTTATCAGAAAATGTTGAAAGAAAAAGAGGAGTATGAGTTGTTACAAGAGCAGCGTGATGAAGCCGAAAGGGCCTATCTCCATAAGGTATGGCTGGAGAAGGAGAGATTGGCACAGGAGGAGTGGAGGATCCAAAAGGAACGGGAGACTAAGGAAAAGGAAAAAAGAATAGAAACGGAGGTGAGAGCAAAAAGGTCAAAAGATCATTAGGTCAATATCAGTAAACAACAATAGTAAACAGAGGAAATAGTTATATTTCAGATACACTGTGTATGGTTCTTGTTAGTGTTGCACAAAATCTTTTTTGTTGTAGAAAAAAATTAAGGAGGAATGGGAAGAAAGACAGAGAAAAGAGAAAGAGGAAGAAGAATTGAAAGAAAAGAAGAAAGAGAAGCAGGTGATGGGGCCAGTAACAAGATATCCTCTGTTGATTTATCTTAGGAAAACCTCCAGCTGGTTTAACTTTTTTTGTATAATTGGTTTCCAAGGATTTTTTTTGGCAATGTATACTCATCGTTGGAAACCCATAGTCAATCTCGCATATGCAAGATTGACCGTTGGTTTTGGATGATGCAATGTACTTTAAATTAAAGTTAATTGAGCTTGTTGAAATTACTTTGAGGTAAAAAGGCACAGTAATGTGTTTCAAATTCCAAAGGTGAGTGTTGTGGCCTATGGGCCTTTTTATTAATATGAATATAGAAACATTGTCAAATTTTATCCTTAACAAAATTACTGCCAGAAAGATGAGGACTGCTCCGTGTGGTTGCCATTAAATATGTATCTTTTTTATTTACAATCAAGTTTGTGAATTTTTCTCTTATATTTCTCTAGCAGCAATTATTTTCTAGTATTCTTGTAGAAAAGTAAGAAGTTCTTGAACAGTCATTTAATCATTCATTCATTTTGTTTGTTTCAAAGGTTCCATCTTTTGAAAGCTTTATTCTCACATTGTTATTTGTGCAGCATAGTAGAATATTCATCTATGAAATATGTCTGATATTTGAAGAATGTTTTAGATACTTAACCTTGAGTATCAGATGCTGATACGTGTTGGCCATGATACTATATTGTAGGATGAACTCCTGAAGGAAGCCACAGCCAATGAAAACAAGGTAAGGGAGTCAATCATGGTAGATTACCGTAGTCGTAATTTAGCATGAATGAAATGATTCACCCAAATTGGATTTAAATTCTCACAAATTCTGAAACAAATCTTCAGTATGATCCATCCCTATCTGAAAAAATAATTTTGTAAATTTAAGGAACCTATATACATACAGTCTATATAAATTGATGAAGGGGATTTGGGTTTTAGAGAGTTGTTAAGTCAACATGTTCCCATTTTACATACGCAGTTTATTTCATTGAATGGATATTTTCCTTTCATATTAGTATAACTATTGCTCTTTTGAACTTACATTCAATTCTATCACTGAATATTGTACATTACAGGAGGAACCCTGGCACAACCCCATTGCCACTCTCTTACCAGGCAAAGAGAGGGAAACCTGCATGTTCTTTTCTAAAACCGGGGCGTGCAGATTTGGTGATAGGTACTGAGATTTATTAACTTTGAAAGAATGTCTCTATGTTCAATATTCATAGATTGATAGTACATTTATATATTGATGAGTTCTCTATAACCCCGATTTTACTTTATAAATGTGGGTTTTCTATAAAGGTGTTCTAGAGGCCACCCTCAGCCTGATATAAGTAACACCTTGCTGTTTACCAACATGTACAATCACTTTGAGCTGGAGCAAGGACTGAAGGATGACCTTGACACTACAGGTAAGTTTTTGCCAGTGACTCGGAGATTGAGTAAATCTATATACATGTATTAACCAAGGTAGGATGGAAATGAGTATTGTGATCCAGAGTGAACATATTTCTTTGAAAGGATATATTAGTTCCATCAAGTTCTTCAGATTGCATTACTTTAAAAGCAGATTTGATTCTGAGTTGATAAACATTTTATTTTGTTGTTATAGACGTGACCTTGGAGTATGAAGAAGGAGAAATATATCAAAACTTTCAAGAATTCTACAACGACATTGTGCCAGAATTTAGAAACTATGGAACCGTGATCCAAGTCAAAGTCTGCAATAACTACGAGCCCCATTTACGGGGCAATGTTTATGTGCAGTATAAAAGGTAACACTGAAATTCTAAGTTATGAGCCCCATCTATTGGACATTGTTTAGATGCAATCTAAAATCTGTTGTAAACATACTTATTTTAGGGATAATCAAATCTAGGCACCTGTTAACTTTATATCAAATTGTAAATCTTGTTGTGGTCAGTGAAAATGTGTTTACTTAGATTAAAGTTCATGGGTACATGTATGATATAATTACATCTATATCTAAAAAAATTTCAGTGAAAACAGTGCTCAGGAAGCTTTCTTTAATCTGAATGGAAGATTTTATGGTGGCAAGCAGGTTTCATGTCAGTATGTTGACATTAAGAAGTGGAAATCTGCTGTCTGTGGTAAGCACTGCACCAAAGCTTTCGAGGTTTAATTTTCATTTACTGCATAATTAGGATCATATTAAATAAGTACAGTGAAGCATTTTTATAATAAAAATGGATTTGCTTACAATGAACTAATATTTTTACCCAATACCTAGTATTTTATGATAATACAATAACATGTAACTAATATTTATGCTATATTAAACCTAATCATGTGTATGGCATGTGGTGTCCTTTAGGTAAATATCCCCCTCTCTTACAATAAATCCTTTTAGCTGGGCCTTTGTTGACTGCTCAGTTTTATGACATACAGTTTCAAACTTGATATTTCTTAATGATTGATTTTTTTCAGGGCTGTTTGGAAGTGGCAGATGCCCAAAAGGAAGAAATTGCAACTTTTTGCATGTGTTTAAAAATCCACATAATGAGTTCTGGGATGCAGATATGGATGCTTTTCATAAGTCAAATGAAAGTACAAGGTCAAGAAGGCACAGGTCAAGATCTAGGTCTCGATCAGATTGGCGGAGGTCAAGGTCAAGACGGGCAAATAGGTCTAGATCAAGATCCAATGATAGAAGTAGATATCATTCAAATGACCATCGATCCTCAAGGTATTCAAAGTCTAGAAGCAGATCTAGAGAGAGGTCCTATGTTAGGTCAAGGAGAGACAAACGAAGGTCAAGGTCAAGAAGCAAATCCCAAAGTAGGTTAAAGGAAGAAAGACAGAGAAGGTCACGAAGTGATTCAGAAGAACGAACAGGAAGCAGGACTAAAAAGACCAGACAACATAGAAAAGATTCAAAGTCCAGAAGCAGATCAAAGAGCAGGTCAAGGAAACAGAAAAAAAGGAAAAAGAGATCAAAGTCAGGATCTAGAATTAACACTGATAATCAGGAATCTGCAGCCAAGGAAGATAGTGAGGAAATTTCTGAAGACAATTCAAAAATTAATTCTGTGACAAATTCTAATGGAATGGATTACAAGGATGAAAGCAACATTTCCAAGGACAGTGATTTTAAAGACACCACACATATTGACAGGAGTCCTTCACCAACATCCAACTCTTTGGAGCATTCTGTGAAAAAGAAACATAAAAAACACAAAAAACACAAGCATAAAAAATCATCATTCTCTGTTTCTGAAGAAAGCAATTAAAATTTTGATCATTTTAATAGTTTTAGTTTTCTTGCTCTTATTTTCTTAAAAGAGAGTAAAGGGGCAGGAAGCATAGAGAACCAATACATTATCTGCAACACATATGGGGCAGATTAGTATAAACTCAGCATTGAGGCACTTTTCTCCCCCACTTTCACACCGAAATGGGGGTATTAATTTGGATCTGTATGTCATTCTGTCGGGATGTAGTACTTTCATTCCAGACTGTATCTTTTTCAATAAGCCTTTGAGCTTTTACAATGCATTTTACACAGAACTCCCTATGGTCTAAAGACTTATTGGATTTGAGGTCAAAGGTCATTTATTCTGTCTCTGTAACACTATCATTTCCAGGCAATATTGTAAAAAGCCTCTGAGATTTTGCAATGAAATTTCATATCACAACTTTACATGTAATGACCTAATTAAGGACCCTATTTGATTTTGAGGCCAAAGGTCAAGGTCAACATGCATTAATTGTAAAATGACATTTTTCAGATGATAATTTATTTTCTTTGAGCTTTTTTTTTTTACCACTTAATAATCACACCTTTCTATGATATACACTATAAGGAATACTTCCTATAATTTTGAAGTCCAAAGGTTATCAGTATACATACATTTTGTTTATGTGTTAAATTTTCTTTTCCAAGCAATGCCATGAAATTTTTAGATTAAAAAGTCAGGATAAGAATTAAAATCATCCATTATCCGTTGAAATAACTTTAAAGTATTAATTATTCAGAATTCTGAATTTAAACAAAAGTTGAAAATAGAATTCACAAAAAATGATTATTTAAAAAAAATGATTATGCATTAAACTTTAAAAGTATGCAAAAAATAAAAGTAGATCCCAGTATAAGTTTCCAATGGAATATTTCATTGCAAATCTGTTCCACGGAGGAGTAGGGAAAAAAAAATCCGGAATATTCTTGACCTTTTCTGTTTGGTTTCAGCAAATATAGCATGGAAGATCACGTGATGATAACAAAATGGCAGCACAAATAACGTCGGGTCCCAATCAAGGGAATGTCAGAAAACCCGACCTATTCAGCAAGCTAGAGGGTTTTAATGATGATGTCAACATGGCAGTGTTTATCCCCCGGGAGGATGGGGTCATTACTGTCAGTGACGATAAGTAAGTGGGCGTTTTTAAGTTCCGGAAGTTCTTAGTTCCAACAACGAAGTACCAAAGTTCGACGCCTCCTTCTTCAGCATCCGAAGAAAGAAAAGTAGAATAATCGCCTCGTTTTTGAAATTTTGAATGCATTATGAATAAGATGTTTTGAAGGGCGTGTTTTAATTTATCATGGAAATCAATATTGATGAAAGCGGAAAATTGATCAGCTGATTTATCTAAATACTTCTAATGACTCATTGTCATACACATGTAACCAACTAACTTTAGTAAGATTTGTACGAACAAAAGAAATCCAGTCTTTTTTTTAAAAAAAGCATGTCTAGGTTTCTTTTTTGACAGACTAGTTAATTCAATTTAAAAAGTGTTCTTTGGCATGATTTGTATGGAATTTTTTTCATCAAATAATAAGTTCATTCCCTGATAACTTATAATTTTGCACAAAGGATCATTAGGTCTATTTATTTATAAGAACAATCATGAACATCACAGTATTTAAGTAAAAATATTGTCCAGTTTTAGTTGTTAAATTTTCATACATTTAAATTTAATTTAAAGAGAAAAAGACGAAGGTTAAATCACTCTAATGCATGAAAATAGTTTAAAGAAATCAACAAATAATTTATTCCTAAACTAAATGAACATTTTATCTGCTTCCGTTTGTTGTTAAAATGTCAATGTGATCAATTTTTCCCTCCAAATTTAGCAAATTTTCAACATGCAGTTTATATCTTTCTATGCACATTTGGATGTATTGTAGCAGTTTATATCTTAATGATATAAACTAATACATGTGCTGACATATATTTTATTTCTTTTAAAGAACTTTAAGAGTTTGGTTAAAGCGAGACACAGGCCAGTATTGGCCAAGTATATGCCATACATTGCCGTGTAAGTATGTGATTGTCTTTTGATCTGCATTTAGTATCTGAATGTTAAGTATACATGTAGGAATAATCCCTGTTGAGATTCTGCTGGGCTAGATATTTGGACTTTTTTTACTCTATGTGATCTTCAATAGCCGCAATAGACTTGGTTCAGAATCACATAGGGTAAAAACAGACTATAGGAACTCTTTTATTTGACGAGGTAAACAATTTCATCATGGGAGCCATATTTCGAACTAGATTTCAGTGAATATTTTTATTTTGAGATTTACATGCCTAAACGGTAAGCTATGTAGAAATTATAGTGACAGAGAGTCAAATAAACAACTAAATGACTTAACTGAAGTGAACGGCAGTGTGGTCTAGGTGAATAATTCTTGCTATAGTCGACCGAAGTTGAGACTTAATCTCAAGACATGAATTATGAGTGACTGTCCAGGGATTCTGAGATGGCGTCAGTCCAAATCTAGCCCAGCAGAATCTCAACAGGGATTAATGTAGAAATTGTTGAGAAATCACAACAAAAAATTATTTTTTCATTTAGAACTCTTTATTTACACTGACATTACTTTCAGCACAAGCTGCATCTTTAGCCTACAACGAGGAAACTAGAAGAACATTTATTGGCTTGGACAATGGAACAATATCCGTAAGTTAATATAGTTTTCTAGTGTTTAATCTAGCTGGTTGTAAATCTATTTTGCAAAGTAATTTGTATGGCACGCCAAAGTCACAAAAATGAGATAAACCTAGTTTCACATTTGATAAACTAGGTTTATCGACTGTAAACTATAGTTTACAAACCATACACTATAGTTAACGATTCGTTAAGTATAGTTTTCATCTGTTAAACTATATTTAATGGTTGTTAACTATAGTTTACGAATGATAATCTAAGTTTATCTGTCTGTAAGAAGCGTTAACGATAGATTTTGTTGATAAACATAGATTCACGTTTAACACAATCCAAAAATAAAAGGGAAAATCAAAATTCCCTTTTTTTCACCCAAGGTTTACAATCTGAAGTCATTTTGGTCTTAAAATCCTTATATGTGTCTCCACAAGTTCCCTTTTTGAAGATTTTTTTAAATTTGAGGATTTGTTATCACCAACCAAACGTTCCTCTTTCTCTACACTTCAGATGCATTTGTTATGACCAGACATTTGAGGAACGTTCCTCTCTCTGACCTTCATATGCATTTGTTATGACCAGACATTTGAGGAACGTTCCTCTCTCTGAACTTCATATGCATTTGTTATGACCAGACATTTGAGGAACGTTCCTCTCTCTAAACTAAGATGAATTTATTATAACCAGACATTTGAGTAACGTTCCTCTCTTACATGTGCACATACAGTGTGTATTTTTAAATACTTTAAGAATCTTAACACATGAGACATTTGAGGAATGTTCCTCTCTCAAATTCACTTGTTTGTGAAGACATCTCATGAATGGTCAAACATCAGGCATTTGAGGAACGTTCCTCGCTCGAATTTAATTATTACTGTAGGCATCTCATGGATTATCAAATATCAAGCATTTGAGGAACGTTCCTTCACAAATGGTTGTCTCATGAATTGTCAAACATTAAGCATTGAGAAACGTTCCTCACTTAAATTTAACATTGTTCACACATGATACTTACATGTATGAGGAACGTTCCTCTCTCAGATTTGTATATGTCTATACCTTAATCATATTAAACCATGCATTTGAAGAACGCTCTTTTCTCAGATTTGTATATGTTGATACCTTATTCATATTAAATCAGGCATTTGCGGAACGTTCCTCTCACAAATGGTTGTATTTCTGTTGATTACTTATACCTCATGAAGCTTGCAACCCGTGCATTCGAGGAACGTTCCTCTGTCTTTTAATGGATATCTGTTGATACATTACAAAGCCCACTTAAAAATAACATTGGAGGAACGTCCCTCTCTAACATTATCATGTGTTTTGTGATATTATATCAGTTTTTATCGTACATGAAGAATTTGGGAAATATTTCTCTCTTTTATATGAAATGCAGTACATATTCATAGAAACATTTTTTATCTGTACACACTCTACAAAATATATATGAAAAATCAGTTTGTCATTTCATAAAGTACTTTTTGAATTAAGGCTTTCTTAAAGCATAATATAAACAAGGTACAGGAACAAACAAATATTTCACTTCGGAACAAGCATGTGCAATGTGCAGTGTTCATGTATCAACACAAAGGGCTTTTTCACTGAATGGCAGTGTGATCACATATTACAATGTCTTGGTTAACAGGTTAATACCCACAGTATTTTTCCTTTCTACCATGAAATTAAACCAAAATTGTTGATGAAGGTCAATCATGTTTCTTTGTCGGTTACATCTTTCCCTCTTAATAGAGACGATTCCAATTCTCTTGGTCTCCAAAGGTTCATAGCATTTTTTCATCAGTCACAGTAAAACAGCCTCAACAAGTTTCTTGGGTGTCATCTTCTGTAGGAAAAATCTCACATTCATTACAGCGGCATGTCGTATTATCAAAGATGTGATTCAGGCAAAGTTAGAATAGTCGAAACAAATTGAATGTGTACATAGTAACAAGTTTTGGTGTCTCATCTAAAAATTAAATAGACTGGAAAAATCGATAAAAAAAATTGCAAAACTTAAATTAGAATTTTGAACTTTAAATTGCCCATGAATTATGAAAGCATTTTCATGCTGTACTAAGAATATAGCAAAATTGACACTTTCTATCTTTCTCATACTATTTTAATGAAATACTGTAAATGTTTTATATTTAGAGTGTACAATATTTGGCGGAAATTGATATTTTAATAAGTTAGCGTAGGTTTGATTTAGCGCATTTTAATGTTCTTTGTTTAAGACATTTAGCGTTGTACTTAAATTAGCGCATGTTTCTTTCCACCAAAAAGAATACACCGCCAAATGTTACACATTTACAGTAATAACTCTGATTTGCAAAGAGCTAAAGCCACGAAGTGCAAAAATATGCCCTGTCACCAAAATGAATAAAATTTTATTCTCTGATAGGTTAGACTTGGCGGGTTATAATATAATTTATTTTTTTATGATATCTTTCCCAGTTTTCTTTTTATAGTCGTTTGAAATTGGTATTGTTTTCAAGTAAAGTCTACATTTTACATGTATAACGTCATGACTTTTGACGTTATTTATACACATGTATATTGTAACGGTATGACGTTATTTAAATGAAGGTAATTATATCTACATTATTCGAAGGATCCGCTAAAATAAACCCTACCTAAGAATTTGGGAAATTTTATCATAGGACTGTTAAGAAGTTTTGAATCATGAGATAAATACATGTAGATAGCTAGTTTTTGCTTTGATAAAAAAAAATGTCTAAATACTGTTATATTGTTGTGATAAATCAAAGGCAACTTTTTAAAATGATACATCAAGAGAAAATAGGGGGAAATTATTTAGGGTGTAAATATTAGCTGTATCCCAATTTTGATTAATCTGCAAAGTCAGGAAAAAATGAATATTAAGTGTTCAATCTTTTTTTTTTTTTTTGGGGGGGGGGGTTGGTTTGAAAATATAGTAAAGGCAACAGAAGGTTGTTTTATTAAGCGGTTGCTACTTGTGTGATCATTCAAAACACATGGGTCGTGCGTAATTAACATTACCATGTGTACATGTACATATACATCTATTTTTTGCCTATCATTCGTAATTGTATGGACAATTTGTTTAAAATTATCCTTCGGACTTCTGTACATATGGAAGGATATAATTTTGCCGACGAACCTTCACACGTTTTTTATCGTCTAGTGTTATCCCTTAAGTAGAAGCTCTAGGGTATTGTACATTGCTATGCATATTGGAAATTCATTCGAGATTCATAATCAAAGACGTTTGACGGCACTTGTTTTGATAAACTGTAAATTAATTACCAAATCTATAACCGCTTTATTTAAACCTCTTTAAACGCCAACAGATGAACAGGCGCGGATCTAGAATATTTTTCCGGTCAAAAAAATATACAACTCGGAAATCTCTTCTCATGCAAAAAAAAGCAAACAAACAAAACAAATCAACAACAAACCCCCAAAATAAACAAAATAAACCCACATAATCTCCTTTCCCATGTTTCGGATTGTTTCCCCCATCGTCTCAAGACACGGTCTGGAGTCCGCATACAGCTGTTTCCTCCATGCAGAATAGGAGAGTATGGGCGTTTTGGTCGTGGTTTGCGACGATGATTGTGTTTTCCTATACATATAAAACCATGACTTTTTATACAAACTCAACACAGATTCCAGGGTTTCAGAGTCATCTAGGGGGGGGGGGATCCAAGGTCACTTTTACTTAGTTTAGTATAGGTATTTAAAATTCTGCAAATCCCAGTCTCTTCATTTAGATCCGCGCATGGATGAATACCGGGTATACAGACAAAGGAGGTAACGTTTATTATTTACCAATTCAACCAATTCCTATCAAATTTAAATCGCTATCATCTCGGGGATAAAGAGAAAAAATGTGAAAATTACACATCCTAAATACCAAGCTAGCATATTTTAAAATTATGATCTTTGGAAGCAACGAAATTACATGCACGAGATAATTCTGATATTCTGGGACACCCCATGTATGAAATAACTGCTTCCATTTTATATAATGTTTGATATATACCCCTTTTGAGCGGAAATTGGAATATATGTAAGTCCGTTCAAGTGTCGATCAAGGCCAGTTATATGTTCAAGGAATCACTGTCTAGTTTTGAGAGTATGCCAGGGCATCAACAATGGTGGGAAACATGGGATATTTTGCATAACGGGCGAAGCCCGTTATGCTCAAATTATGCCATGTTTCCCACTATTGTTGATGTCCCTAGAATACTCTCAAAACTAGACAGTGATTCCTTATATTTCCATTTCATTGTGAAATAAAATTGTAGATTTAAACTTTAAAAAATGTAAACATAGACTTAAATCACACGAGGACTCCCATGCCAATTTCAATAGTCCTCGCCCACTGACGTCAAACACAAAGACAGCCGCACGAGATTTACATGCATATTTGGCCTCCCTAGCGTCAGACACAGAGACAGATGCGCACGAGATTTGCATGCGTATTAGGCCTCAATTAGCTCCTGACCTATCGACCTGCCTAATTTACATTCCGGCAGAATTGTCAAGAAATAAACTCCGTCAACTTTCAAATAGTTATCACAGAGAAAAAAAATAGAAATGGAAATATTATGCAGTTAAAGATCTATGTTATATTTTTTAACAATTCATAAAGATCACCCCCGCTGTTGTGTTATGGAAAGCTTTCGACCATGCAACAATTACAAAATCAAGATGTTGCTGATCAGCTGGGGATATTTTAACAATTAAAGAATAAATTACCCTTCCTGTTGATCATAATATCATATGCAAGTATTTATGAATGGAAACGCCCCCCCCCCCCCCCACATCCCACCCCCATCCCTCGAAACACTATCGAATAGATTGATTTCACTTCGTCAGTTTTTCACTTGTAATAATTGATTTTTTTCGATTGTGTATGTAGTTATAATTTCTCTAGATTTGCCCTTGCATTTACCTCCAACTAACTAACGACCTATAGCATAGATAACTTGGAAAATTTGGAAAACCTACAGGTAAATATTTAAAGC